CGGGCCTCCTCCACGTAGGTCTCTATGGCATCCCGCTGGGCTTCGTCTGCCAGGGCCCCCCCGTCCATGGCCTTGTCCAGTGGGTCCCCGACACGCAGCTTCCCCAGCCGCGCCCTCAGCCGCTGCAGCAGCGCCCCGGCCACGGCCTCCTGCACCAGCAGCAGCGCCCCGGCGCCGGGAGCCTGGGGGGAAAGGGGTTAATGACACACCAGCGCCCCCTGCAGGGCACAGGCCCTCATGGCAATGCAGTCACAATCCAGAGGGGGCCTGTTCCCTGCCCCCCTGAGCCCTGCCCTGGGGCCAGATGGGAGCCAGCGCCCCCTAGAGGGGTCAGGCCCCATGCCCCATTCCCCGTCCCTCTGTGCCAGCCAGTCCCTGCCCTAGGGCCGGATGGGAGCTGGCGCCCCCTAGAGGGGACAGGCCCCGGGCCCCATTCCCCACCCCCCGACAGCTGGCGCCCCCTAGGGGAAGGCCGCACTCCCTGCTCACCGGGCCCCGCTGGCAGCTCACGGCGTTGCTCAGCCCCACGGCAGCTCCATCCAGGTCGGCCGAGTCGAAGACGATGGCCAGGGCGTCACCCCCCAGCTGCAACGAGAGCCGGGGGCCTCTGCCGGCCGTGGCGCGGCGCAGCGAGCGCCCCACCTGCGGGGAGGGGAGGGAGGGCGCTGGGAATGGGGCCAGGGCAGCCCCCAACTCCACCAGCCCAGCACCCCCCATGGCCTAGGTCCCCAGCCCCCCACCCTAGTCCAGCTACCCCCGGGGTCCAGCCCCCTCCCCCCAGGCCCCTCCAAGTCACAGCGGCCCCCTCCCTTCAGGGCACCCCACTCCCCTCTCAGCTCAGCTCTCCAGAGCCCCCTCCCATCCCCCCAGCCTAGACCATGGCAGCTCCCCCCAAGAAACCAGCCCCCCAATTCCACCCCCCCACAGACCAGCCCTCTGGCACCTGGGGTCAGGGGGAGAGCCCCCTCCTCCTCCTGGAAGCACGTACCTCCACGGAGCCAGCCACGGCCACAGCGTCCACCCCGGGGTGGGCAGCCAGCCCCCCGGCCAGCGCCCCCTCCCCCGTCAGCACATTCAGCACCCCTGGGGGCAGCCCGGCCTGGGCCCCCAGCTCGGCCAGCAGCAGGGCAGAGAGCCGGGCACGGGGGGGTGGGAGGAGAACCACGGTGTTCCCTGGGGGGGTAGATGGGGGTCAAGAGGGGGGCGCATGGAGCTCAGGGCAGGGGGACCCCCACAGAGGGGGCCTCAGAGGGGGACCACATGTGGGGGGCTCAGGGCAGGGGCTGCAGGGGGCTCAGAGAAGGGGGACCCCCAAACAGGGAAGAGGGGGCCTCAGAGGGGACCACACGGGGCAGGCACAGGGGGACCCCCGGACAGGGACAATCACAGGGGGGGATCCCAGCTGGGCGACCCCTTCCCCTTAGAAGGGGGGTGTGGGGAAGCTCTGGGGGAGACACACAGGAGCTGGGGGGGACTCAGAACCACGTGACACCCCCCAAGAGGACCCGGGGGATAGAAATATGGAGGTGGGGGGGTGAACCCCGAGCGAGAGGGTTGGGCTGGCCCCCAAGAGGGGCGAGGGGATCCCAAGGGAACACACATGGGGGGCACAGAGTGGGGCAACCCCCCCCACACACACACACCTACCCATGGCTAGAGCTGGGCAGATTTTCCAGGCCAGCGGAAGCAATGGGGAATTCCAGGTAACCACGGCAGCGACCACCCCTGGGTGGGGAGGTAGAGGAAGAGAGAGGTCAGAGCGGGGAGCCAGGACTCCTGGGTTCTCTCCCCAGGCCTGAGGGGGAGTGGTGTCTAGTGGTTAGAGCAGGGGGTGCTAGGAGCCAGGACTCCTGGGTTCTGTCCTGGCTCTGGGAGGGGAATGGGGTCTGGTGGTTAGGGGGAGGGGGGGTGGCTGGGAGCCAGGACTCCTGGGTTCTCTCCCAGGCTCTGGGAGCAGAGGGGAGGTCAAGCAGTTACAGGAGGGAGCCCGGACTCCTGGGTTCTGTGCTGAGCTCTGCTACACACTCCTAAATCCCCGTTCCCACATCAGGCCTCAGTTTCCCCCACGTAAACAGGCGCACGGCTCCAGCACAGGGCGAGGGAACCCCGCCGCGGTCCCTCACTCTTTGGGCGAGATACTCACCCAGGGACTTCCAGCCCCCCATCTCGGTGCCCATGAGCTGGGCCCAGCCGGCGTGGTGGTAGAAATGTCGCACGACCAGGGGCAGGTCCCGGTCCCGGGCTTCCCCGATGGGCTTGCCGGTATCCAGGCTCTCCAGGAGCGCCAGCAGGCGCTGGTGTTTTTGGATGGTCCGGGCCACGCTGGAGAAGGGAGGGGGCCAGGGTCAGGCCGGGGCTGGCGTCCCTGCAATGCAGACTGCGGCCAGCGGGTGGCGACAGTCGCAAGCCGAGCGTGCCAGGCAGCAGGGGGCGCTGCGACGGCTCCGCGGGCGCCAGGCAGGCTGCCGTCACTAGGTGGCGACAGAACCACATGTCCAAACGGGGCGCCTTTCTCCCCCACCACCCCAACCAACGCCCCCTCCCCGCCCCCCGGCACCCTCGCGGCCGGCGCTCACTTGTGCAGGTGCCGGGCTCGGGCGTGGCACGGCAGGCGACTCCAGGCTTCGAAGGCTTTCGCGGCAGCTTGGACAGCAGCTTCGACATCCTCCGGCGCCCCCTGGAGGGTGGTGGCCAGCAACTCCCCTAGGGCCAGGGAGAAAGATCCCCACTTACGCATAGCCCCCCCCCCCCCCGAGAGAGCCCCCCCCCCCCCCCCCCCCCCCCCCAGAGATCTCTCTGCCTCCCCCCGCCCACACACTCTGCTCGGAACTGAGCTGAGACCCAAACAACTCGGTTCACACATGGACTCACCAGCTGGGACGGGAGTCGGCACCCCCTAGAGGCCCCGTGTCCCATTTCCTGTCCCCTTGAGCCAGTCAGTCGCCCGCCCTGGGGCCGGATGGGAGCCGGCGCCCCCTATGGGGAGAAGCCCCCAGTCCCGTTCCCCGCCCCCCTCTCAAGATCCAGTTTAACCCATCAGGGTCAGACACGGTGAGCTGCTGCGGCCTGGGCTCGTACCGGTGGCTGGATTGGTGCTGCTGGCGGTTTCTCTGCCTTCCGGCTTCAACCATTTGCCATCCATGAAGTGCCCAAAGCTTCGACCGTGAGTCTCCAGCCAGGCCTGGGGTGGGGGGAAGCAGGAGAAATACACGCCCTTGAACGGTCAGACCAACCCTCGGCAATACACCGCACACCCACGAGGGGGCAACCGGCCCCATGCTGCCCTCTAGTGGCTGGAAGCAGAACGTGGTCACTATAGGTCCTAAGCCCTATAGTGCAAAAAGGGGATTCTCTGCAGAATGCCCAGTCAGGTGCGGGAGGGGAGGGGTCCCGCTGTGGCAGGGACAGGGGGTGTTCCCAGCAGGATCGCTGTGTTCTGATTCTTAGCCCAGCATAACAGACACACCTCTGCGAGCTGAAATGAAATGCTACCCACTGTTTGATTAAACAGACGGGGAAACTGAGATACGGAGAGGGGGAATGGACTTGACACACAGCCATAGAGGGGCAGACCTGGGCAGAAAACCCAGGAGTCCTGTCTCCCAGCCCCCCTGCTCTAACCACTAGACCCCCCTGTCTTCCCAGAGCTGGGGAGAGAACCCAGGAGTCCTGGCTGTCAATCATTGGATCCCAGCTCTTAGCAAACCCACTGTGATGTGTTTTAACATGGGCGTGTTTTGAGGATGGGAAATTAGGCAGCCAGGACTCCTGGGTTCTCTCCTTGGCTCTGGGAGGGGAGTGGGGTCTAGTGGGTTAGAGCATGGGGGCTGCGAGTCAGGACTCCTGGGTTCTCTCCCTGGCTCTGGGAGGGGAGTGGGGTCTAGTGGGTTAGAGCAGGGGGGCTGGGAGCCAGGACTCCTGGGTTCTATTACTAATCCTGGGAGGGGAGTGGGATCTAGGAGGAGATGACCGGGTACCAGGACACCTGGGTTCTATTCTTGTACTGTCGTCCCGTCCCCGTCCCCGCCCCCACAAGGGAAGAACTCCTGAGTCTGGGCGCGGGGTCAGCGCAGCAGGACAAGAGCTGGGGCTGCAGTGGAAAAACCCAGGTGGGACGGGACAGGCCCGGGGCCCGGGCTCTCGGCACAGTGCAGCCATCCCTCCCCCGCCCGCCCCGCCCCGGGTGCTGCCTCAGCTACACCAAGGTCAGGGCCGCGGGTGGGGGTAGGGAAGGGGAAGTGGAATCTCGCTGTCTTGGCAATTCTGCCTTGGCCGAGGGCCAGCCTGCCAGCCAGGCCCTAGCAGCTGAATCCCCACAGCCTCCTAGGAGCCAGCAGGGCTGTCGCCGCCTGTGGGGAAACTGAGGCACACAGCGCTGGTGGGACTCAACCACTTTAACGCAGCCTGGGGCAGAGCTGGAGAGAGAACCCAGGAGTCCTGGATCCCAACCTCCCCCCCCACTACTACTAGCCACCCCTCCCCTCCCAGAGCCAGGGAGAGAACCCAGGAGTCCGGGCTCCCAACGTGGGGGGGGGGGGGCTTACCTGGGCAGGCCCCGCCCCCTCTGGGGCAGGCCCATACTCCATGGAGCTGTAGATGCCCCACACGGACGGGCGCCCCCCCGCAGCTCCAGCCATTGACTCCCCGCCGGACTCTGCCCCTAGGCAGCCCGCCCCTGGCCGCTGGAGGGACCCAGCGCCACTTCCGGCCTCCGGAGCACCATAGAGACTAGGGGTTCGGGGACGGGCCATGACCTATAGCTATCACTTCCGCCGGAAGAAGGTAAAACCGCGCTGCGGAGAGACCGGAAGTGTGGCGTCCAAAAGCCGGAAAGGGCCGCTCTGAAATTGACAAAGGACCAATAAGTGAATCGCCGCGAGTCCCGCCTCCTCCGCCCCGTGATAGGAAATGTGGCAGAAGACACGGGGAAGTGCGGCGAAATCCCTACCCCGGAAGCGATACGGTCCTTACCGGAAGTGTGGCAACAGACACCGGAAGTTGGTTTAACGCTCCCGGAAGTGGGCGTCGCAGGCTTGGGCCAGGGTTGCCAATAGCAGCGGGGAGGCAAAGGGCAGGGGTCAGTGCCCGAGGGGCGGGGGGGGAAAGCTGGTGTGACCTCCTGCCCTCCCTGACCCCGGACTCCTGGGTTCTCTCCCCGGCTCTGGGAGGGGAGTGGGGTTCTAGTGGTGGGGGGCTGGGAGCCCGGACTCCTGGGTTCTCTCCCCAGCTCGGGGAGGGGAGTGGGGTTCTAGTGGTGGGGGGCTGGGAGCCCGGACTCCTGGGTTCTCTCCCCGGCTCAGCGGGGGATGGGACGTGGGGGCTGGTATCACAGCCTCCTCCGGGCACCCTGGGCTGGCAGCGCCGGCAGCCTGGCATGGTGCCGCGGGGGGTGACACCTTGTGGGGGGGCTGCCGTCCCTTAGTCTGCATAGATCACCCCAGGGGCCAATGCCCCCCGGTGCCCCGATCCGCTCCGTGCAGCCGGTGGCCGGGCCTGGTGCCCCGGGCTCCAGCACTGCTCCGGAGTCCGCGCTAGCAGGGACCAGCTCTGCCTTGGGAGGCCGCGGGCCCCGCTGCCCATGGCGGTAGGAGGCAGTTTTGGGGCTGGCAGGGCCGCGTGGTCCCTCGCTCCCACGCCACGTGAGCGGGCACATCCGTCTGAAGTTCTGTCTGCTTTGCAGCCCCGTCCCCGGAGCAGAGCCCATGGCCTCCCAGACGGACAAGTCCCTGCTGTCGGCAGAGCTGGAGGAGGAAGACGATGAGGAGTTCAGACAGCTGCTGCTCCAGGTCTGTGAGCGGGCCCAGCTCCTGCCCGCACCCCCCCGCGTGCAGGGCTGCACTGGGGAGCGTTGTGGGGGCAGCAGGCTGGCTCTGCTTGTGGGCCCCTGTGGGGGAGTAGCAAGCCCTCGGAGCCTGCAGGGCTGGGTCCCAGCAGGGATCTCTCGGTGCGGTGTCGACCCAGTGGTCTCTGCTCCCTTCCCACCTGCAGGGTTTGCAGCACTCTCATAGCTGTGGTAGGTGGGATCTGGCCAAGGGAGCTGACAGAGGAATCAGCCCCTGGGAGGAGGAAGCGGGGGGCTGATGGGATCTGGTGGGGCAGGATCAACCCTGTGAAGACTGGTGGGATCGGATGGGGGAATCGGTGACTGGTGGGATCCCCCCTTGGTTCCACTCTCATTCGTTCTAGGTGATGCAGCGATTGAGTTGAGGCGAGCTGGGATCCGGGGGGGGGGGGGGGGGGGGGGGAGTTGTGGGTTCATTCACAAGGACCTGTCTGTGCTGGGACTCATCGCAGGCGTGTGGGTCTGGAGGGACCACGGGGTGGGTGTGGTGGGGTCCAGTGCCTGTCTCATCCCCCTTTCCCTGCAGGCCACCCAGAAGATCCAGAGCGCGATGCCTTCGGTGCGTGACTCGAAGCCGATCCAGCCTCAGCCTGGTATGGAGTTTGGGCCAGGGGAGCCCAGGGCTAGGGGGCTGCGGGTCGCGAGTGAGGGGCACCAACCCCTTCCTTTCCTTCTTCCTCCAGGCTTCTGCATTAAGACCCACGCGGGCTCCCAGGAGAAGGTGTTTGTGAACATCTGCCGGTCGCTGCACATCCCGGCGCCCCCCGACCTCAGCTGCCAGGAGCTGGAGTGTCTGATCGAGTCGGACAGCGCCTCTTCCTTCCGCATCCCCATGAGCCTTGGGGAGCCCCACGCCGAGCTGGACAACAGTGAGCCACCCCCACCCCCCTGCTGTGACCCCACAGCCCTATGGGTGGAACCTCCCACGGTGACCCCTGGCCCCCCCTGCATACGAACACCCACTGTTGGGATCTCTGTGACTCCCGACCCTCAGCAAGGAATCCTGTCCCTTATCCCTGTAGGGGGCGCCAGGGTGGGGACTGGCTGGCTCAGGGGGGCAGGGAATGGGACACGGGGCCTATCCCCTCTGGGGGTGCCAGCTGCCATCCGGCCCCAGGGCGGGGGCTGGCTGGCTTGGGGGGCAGGAAATGGGACACATGGCCTTTCCCTCTAGGGGGCGCTGACTCCCACCTGGCCCCATGGTAGGGACTGGCTGGCTCAGGGGGGTGGGGAATGGGGCAGGGGCTGTTCCCCTCCGGGGGCGCTGGCTCCCACCCGGCCCCACAGATCAGGCCGCACTGGCTCTGATCCCCGGCCGCGGAGCGAGGGGAGCTCAGAGCGCTCACAGTCATTCTCTGTCGCAGGCGGGAACGGCTGCACCGCGTACGACGTGGTCATCAACTCCGGCTTCTTCAGCAAAGTGGAGGTATGTGCCCCCTGCTGGGCCGGGCCCCCCGCAGCTGTGGGTGGAGCGGGGGACTTAATGTGTGGATGGGGGGGCGGGGGGATGCAGCTCCCTAGTGGTCCCCCCTGGGACCCGCTGACCCTGCCCTTTCTCTGTGCCAGGCTGACCCCTTCTTCAAAGAGTTCTTCATCACCGTAGCCCTGGAGGGGCTGGCAGACAAGTACAAGATGCACGTCAATCACCCGGGTACTGTCCAGGGTCGGATGTGAGCAGCACCGGCAGAGCTGGGGGAGCCCAGGGCTGGGCTAGCAGGGGCTGCGGGTCAGGAGTGAGGGGCACCGGCAGGGCTGGGGGGGGCTGGGCTAGCAGGGGCTGCGGGTCGGGAATGAGGGGCACTGGCAGGACTGTGGGAGGTAGGGGGGCTCTTACTCCACTGCCCCCAATCTGCCCCTCCCCATTAACCCCTTCCCAACCACTCTGTAGGGTGGCGAATCCTGAAGAACCGGAAGTTCATGGGCTCCATCTCGGGACAGACCATCCGCACCAAGTCCAGCCCCGTCATACAGGAGATGGACTTCAGGTGAGTGGGGGGGTGGGGGGTGTCTGATTACCCTCCCCCCCTAGACTCTGCCCCCTGGGGGTCTAGCTCCTTGGGATGCTGTGGATTTTAACAACCTCCTCCCCAATCTCTTCCCCCCCCCCTCCATGGCTGCTGTTCTCTGATTGCTGGCCGCTGCTCTGGAAATCCAGTGGCAGAGAGTTCCGCTGGCTCCATGTGTAGTGAGGAAAAAAGCTGGTGTGTCTGAACCCCCGTCCTCCCAGGAGTGCAATGGGCTCTCCCCCATCTGGCACGCACCCAGGGATGGAAAATACAACTGATCTGAGCCGACCGTGCCCAGCTCCATTGGGGTGGGGGAAGCCTAGAACCGTGGGTCTCTTGTGAGCCTGAGGGGCTACAAAGGATTCTCCAGCACCCCCCAAAAGCCCAGCACCCCAGCTTTGCGATGGTGTCAGGCACAAGGGGCTCCGGGCAGCGGGATGGGAAGGGCGGGGCGATGAAATCCAGTGCGTGGGGGGAGGCGATGTGGTAATCAGACTGACGTGATTGCAGGGGTCTGGCTGGCCTGGTTGAAATGGTTCCCTGGCTAGTTGATTGGTGGAGGGGGCTGTGTATGCTGGGGGGCGGGGTGTGTGCCTGTGGGAGAGGCTGCTAAAGGCCCTCCCCCCATCTCTGAAATTGACATGACGAGAGAAATCGACCAGAGGCCTCAGGCCTGGGCGTGTCCCCTGTGGGAGACAAGCCAGAGCCCCATGGGGCTGTGCCGTCCCCAGACAGACTCCGGGGGCTGGGTCCATGGCCGGGCCTTGGGGCAAAGGGGGATGGGGGGTGGCAGACAGGGATTTTTACTGGGTGCTGAAATCCCCTCCCCCCACAGCTCCCTCCCTCTGCTGGGTCCCCCCTCATTGCCATGCAGCTCCTCCCCAATGGGGCACTGGCTGTTGTGCCGTGTGGGGCAGGGAGCTCAGACCTGGCCCCCTCTGACCACCTGCCCTCCCCACCCCCATTTCTTTCCGCAGCTCCCCTGTGCTCCCCAAATTCACCATCCTGGCAGAGCCGGCGGGAGGGCCCCCTGAATTCCTGCAGGCTGAGATCCACCTGCCTAGAGTGGTGAGTTCTGCCAGGGGGAGCTCCTGGCTGCTCCAG